ATATTGAAGCAGAAAATTAAAACCTCCCGCAAATGGCGAGAATTTGGCTCGTAAACTGACATTTTCAATCGAGAAGAACTTTATGATGCAGACACAAATATACTAATAATGTTTCTAGGGGTTTATGTTGACAGATGCCCAAGTTTATTGTATGACGTCTATGATCTATTTATTTCGACCACCACTTACCGCTAAAGCCATCTATACGAAAACGGCGAAAGCAAAGTTGTACACCTAATATTACAATATAAATAACGAGTATCATAAATATTAGATACTACTTTATACTAAATTATGCACACATTTGTATCATGTTATATATAGAGTTTGCAAAAAGTTTTAATTTTTAAATTGAACATAGTTTTCTTTAAAAAATTAACTTAAAATCAATTATTGTGTTTACGATTACAGATACGCTGCAGAATGGTACAAATTTTCGCCTAGACTAAAATCATTACTGATAATAACACTTTATAGAAGTAATATACCGTGCGAATTAAAGGCAGGTAATATGATTCCGTTATCCATTGCGACTTATGCAAAGGTAATTTATAGAATACTGCAATATTATTTTTTATAAAAACATTGTGTATACTATATATAACTTATTTAATTACTTTAAGGTAATAAAAATGTCTATGTCTTACTACACGGCATTATTATCAATGCAAGATTGATTGCTAAGTGTTGAATTAGTTTTTCACCGATCTTCGTCTCGTCTCAATGACAATAAATTGCAGACTTACTATGTTGTTTCTTAACTATGACCAATAATCCAGCTATTGTGTTGCATTTAATCAGCAATTTTTTGTATTGTTTTTATACATTTCTCGCATAACACAATATTCCGATTTTCAGTAATATTGTATTATAAATTAATCTATTATAAATCCAGTTTATTTATGCCATTTGTTTTTCTCTATTAATTTTATTATTCAGTTATCATATTTATTCTTTTTATGTTAGTATCATTGTTTGGTAATTATTTACTTTAGGGCAAACAGGTCATTGACTTTGATCTTGACATATGTTATCATGACCCTGAGTCTCGCGAGTAATTTTCAACAGGTTTTAGCCATCGCTTGTTATTCGATAAAAAGTTATTAACGAACAAGTTGTAGAAAATAACTATTTTTGCCATATTTCTGGACTATAGGGTGTTCCATAAATGCATATCAATACTTTAGAAGGCAAATCTTTACACTCTAACCCTTACGAAAAGATCGTCTGCCGAGTGTGTAGTTATTACTGGGGATATTGCTGCCCATGTAGTAATTACTACTGACGGATCACATGATAGACATTACACCGCTGAAGTTATTATTGGAGGTATTACTGCTTGTGTAATAATTATTGCCAACAGATTACAGAGCAGTTATACATAAACCACACATTACTAAGGATATGTGATTCCACGTTAGTCTCGAAACATCGCTCGGCCAAGGCAGACGCTTCAGCACGAGTGTTACATCATCCGTATAGTTTTGCAAAGCCGAGTTCAGCGTTAAACGTGTCTTGCAATCTTACTTTGTTTGTATACTATTTAATAAGAGCTGGCTGTATTGTGTTTCCTTTCATTACGGAGGCAGAAGCCTGCAATAAGCAAGGAAGAAGTGATTTCGCGTTTTGACAACGTTAGTTATAAACATAACCAATAAAATCTGTTGACTGCTTTTTATCGTCGAGTGAATGCGTGTCGTGATATGGCTCCTGCACACTGGACGTAGAAACTCTTGCCGCGCGACAAAATGAGATGCGGTAACCAGCAATGAACACATTAAGAGCTGTAAGTTTATTGACTATCGCATCACATTTTGCCGCGCGGCAAGCGTTTCCGCGTCCAGTGATAACAAAACGTTCCTTGGCATAAGAAAAGAAATAGGTGCTCAGCACAAGTTTCTCATAATTGCCATCATGTTGCTGTCATCAGGGCAATAATAATTTCATTTAGGTCAAACTAGAAGCATTATGCGGAAAACGGTTTTTGCGCAAATGAGCGAAAATGCTGTAACAAACTTATTCCCATAAATGTTGCTACAACTTGTCGGAAATCGGTTTTGTAAAATATTTAGTCCACATTTTTGTCAATCGAATGGAAATAAAGCGTCGTTGAGCAGTATGTGGTGTCGTCACCAGAGGGATGCATCGAGTTAAATTTCTCGATTTTAAAAAACAATATAGAATAAAATAAAAGACGCAGCATTAGAAGATTTTTCAGTTGTGTCTTAATAAAATAATTTTTTGAAGTAAGCCCCAAGGGTAGGGCTCTAAGATGAAAGGCATAATACTTTTTATGAAATGTTTGCCGAGTAAATAAAATCTCCTAATACTTTAATATGTATTTTGTTCTGCATTGTAAATTTATTCGTAGTAACTTACACCTGTCAACCAAATGAGTAAAATGTCTAAAATCAACTCATACGTCACTTTAAGATATCTTTCAGAGTTTCTTTATAAAATATCTTAAAGATGATCTTTAAAGAACTCTTAAAGATATCTTAAAGTTCTCTTTTAAGTCACTTTAAACAGGAAAGCTACATTGTTAGAGGTTAACCCATTTTTTTTCTACAACAGTTTCTTTTATATTGCTGTCAAATTGCTAACAAATTTAAAGATTATGCGTTTCGTGGGTTTTCTCCGTGTCCAGATCCATTCTTGAGATGTCAACGGTTCGTGAACCTTGCAGTTCACTTCAACAGGGCGAAGAGCAACCTGATACTGAGCTGTTCCTCCAGGCCGTTCCTTATTATATTACGCTGCTTGTTGGGGTGGTGGGGGTAGGTGGAGAGGGGGAAGGGGTTGTGAGAGGAAAAAGAGGTGGTGGAATTGGTTAGTCTTCAATAACCGGGAGAATGGTCTTCCATATTTTATTTATGTTGTAGCCATTATCTTTATTTAAATTGTTAGGGAGTTTTTGTTTCTCTATGGCTTCTCTATACTTTCTTGGAAAGTATGATATACTGTTGGCTATTGTGGTCGTTTTGTCAAACAGTAATTGATGTCCTATTTCGATGTTGTGTTCTGATAATGCCGACTGCGTGGTGTGTTTTAGTCTGACATCACGTTAGTGCTCTTTGATCCGTAGGTTGATCATTCTCCCGGTTTCTCCAATGTATACTTTCCCGCAGGAACAAAGTATTTTGTATACTCCTGCGGAACTGAGTGGAAGTCTGATCTTTAGGATTTCTTAAGATTTGTCTTATCTTTTTGGGTGGTTTGAAGATAGTTTGGATATTGTGTTTGTTTAATATCCTGCCAATCTGATTTGATGTTCCTTTGACATATGGGAGAATGGTTAGGATCCTTTCGTCTAGTTGTGTGTCAGAGACCGTTGTCTTGTTTGCATGTTTATTGATTATTTTGGTTATGTCTTTTTTATCGTGTCCGTTTTTCTGTAAGGCCAGTTTGAGATGGTTGAGTTCTGTCTGTAGATGTTCCTTGTCAGAGATGGTGAAAGCCTCTATGTACTAGTGAGTTGATTGCTGACTGTTTTGTGCTGGGTGGTGGTGCGACTCGGCATATAGATATCTATCGGTGTGTGTTGGTTTTCTGTACACTTGATGACCTAAGGTACCGTCAGCTTTCTTAAAGACAAGAACATCTAGAAAAAGGAGTTTTCCGTTTTCCTCTATGTCTATAGTAAAGTGGATATTTGAATGTTGTTTGTTGAGGAAAATAAGGAATTTACGTAGTTCGGCTATGACGTGTCTCCATACCACGAATGCGTCGTCTACATAATGGAACCAAACTTCTGGTTTTTTGGTTGTTTTTCTGGGAGCCTCTTTCTCAAAATGCTCCATGAAGATGTTGGCGATTACAGCACTCTACCCCAACAAGCAGCGTAATATAAAAAGGTACGGCCTAGAGGAACAATTCAGTATTAGGTTGCTCCTCGCTCTGATGAAGTGGACTGCAAGGTTTACGAAACGTTGGCATCTCAAGTATGGATCTGGATACGGAGGAAACCCGCGAAACATATAACCTTTATACAGAAAGCACCCGTGGAAGCCTCAAGAATATTATCAAATACCTCTACGGGGAGAGGATCCTTGCTAAAGTGAACACTTTCAGCAAAGTCAGGTCTTTCCTAACCAAGAAACTATCAAATTTGGCATTCCTAAAACGCTGTAGGGATAATAACATCATCCCAAATTTCCTACAACTCAAGGACCACCTAGGAACTCACAAATCCAAAAACGTCCTTCATAAAACCAGCTTCATCCTTATCAAAGAACGCATCCACTTCACTAAGTCACAAATAGCCTAGATCTCCCATAAAACCTTTAGACTTCACCTATTCCTATCCGTTACGTTGCGGCATGACATCTGGCAAACCCTAGATTGTATTACATACGAACAAGCCGCGAAGACCCTCACACAATCCTCTAAAAGACAGAAACAGAAATACATAAACCTCGTTCCTCACAAAAATCCACAACCTTTTCTATTCAACGTCAAGAACCTATCCAACAAAGACCTGTCTCAAGATACTATATCTGCACTTGCCAAAGGCCCTAACTTCTCAGTGGCACCTAGAAAGGTTCCAAAGGAAGAAATTATCAGCCAAATAGAGTCAACCATCTACCGACTCCCATTAGAACAAGCAGATGATATCCGCAGACAGGTAACCAATATTCTTTCCAAAGCCAAACCCCCTCCACCAAACATCACTAGACAAGAGCGATTGGCCCTCCAAGACCTGAACAGGGACACAGACATCATCGTGCTTCCAGCCGACAAAAGGCAACACGACAGTAGTCATGAACACATCAGACTATAAGAAAACGATAAAGAACCTTCTCTCGGACAAAGCATACAAAAAGCTTGACGAAGATCTGGAGACACTGGTAGTGTCTCGGCGCTAAGCCAAGCGCAGCGACACTGCCGTGGCTACTATACGCAAATCTGTCAAGATTTCCAGACGGCGATTATGGGATCTCAATAACGGTTGTCCCGATTGAGTCCTAAGTGTGCTCAATCGATGGCATCCGCTCGGAATATATAATGAAAGTGTTTTTGTTTTTTCTCTACGTGCTCTACGAGCGGAGATATTGCGATGTAAAATGATGCAAAATCCGACTTGAAACTTTTAATTTAAGAAACGTCATCGTCGTCGTCGTCGACAAGGCTATGGGGTGAGGGATATGTCCTTTTGGATTTTTCGGCGCTAGAGGTAAATATGGCGCTGGCAATGTGCATGGTC